GAGATGTTAATAACACCCGCATGTTATGCTCACTTATTATCATCGTTACTATGTTTGGCCTCTGGCAAAGTTGCTGTTATATTGGAGGTAACGTATGAAATGTATGTGTGCATGTGCGCGCGTATTTGTGCATATACATATTTGCTCATAAATGTTAAATATATCTATAATAATTTAATTAATCATATTATTCTTTTCTCTATAGGGTGGCTATTGTTTAAAATCATTAGCTGAAAGTGCAGCGTTAACATTACGTACTTTACTAGGCGATCCATGCCCTATGTTAGAAACTCTTCGTTCACCTTCGTTAAGGTAAAATCAAACCTATAATATAGTATAATGAGTCGGCAACTTATCCTTTTAATTTTAGTATACGTGAAACCATTCTAAATACAATTTATGCACACAAACCATATTGGAAGTGTTATCAGTATCAAGATACGTACAGTATTAACAATATAACAAATAATAAGGATGAGAATAATCAACATTTACCTGTTGTTGTATTCAAGTAAGAAATTTATTTATCTGTAACAACGATTGGATAATTACTTTTTGACAACTTTTTTATTTATTATAGAGGAACTGATATTAAGCTAGAAGTATATGAAACGCGTAATTGTTATCCAGTTCAGAGTAAAGAATTTATTGACATGATGGAGAAACAATTAAATGCTTTGATACTAAGTATGATTACACTTCAACAGAATTTTTGCATTCAAGAAAATTTGCATTATGTAACTGTGAGCTGTTTTGTAGATGCTAACTTATCTAAAGCCGCTCATAAAGTGTGTATCGTTTATGATGATAGAATGTCAAAACATTGTAATATATCTGATGGCAGCCATCCGGAAAGACCGAATCGTATTAATGCTATTTACAAAAAGTGTCAAGAGTGCAATCTACTCGAGCGATGTCACGTGCAACAGGTATGTTAAGGTTGTACCTGAACCCTTACATAAAAACAATGACAAAGCATTGAAATTTTAAGACTTACTAAATATTACATTAATGAAATGTTGAACTATATTTTTTTCTACTTAGAACATGACATGTTTTTATCGATTATTCTGTAGGGTCGCAGTGCAACGATGGAAGAATTACTATTAGTTCACTCGAAAGAGTACATAGATAAAGTTAAAGGCATAGAAAATTTAAAACCGAAGGAGCTGCAGAAGCAGGCGGCAACTTATGATTCAGTTTATTTCCACCCTGAGACCTGGTCAAGTGCCTGTGTATCTGCTGGATCATTGTTACAAGTTGTCGATAATGTATTAAATGGAGATAGCCAAACTGGCGTGGCTATTGTAAGACCGCCAGGGCATCATGCTGGAGAGGATGCAGCATGCGGTTTTTGCATTTTTAACAATATTGCAATAGCAGCTAGATATGCAACAGAAGTTCATGATTTAAAAAGGTATTGCGATAGATTTGCTTTTCACAAAGATATACAGTTTAAACGCAAGGAATAATTAATTGTTTTCAGAATATTGATAGTGGATTGGGATGTACATCATGGTAATGGAACTCAATCAATTTTCGAGGAAGACCCCAAAGTTCTCTATATGTCTGTACATCGTTATGATAATGGCGCTTTCTTCCCGAATTCAAAAAGAGCCAATTACTCTTATGTCGGTTCTGGCGTAGGAGTAGGTTTTAACGTAAACATACCATGGAACAAGGTCAGTTAATAATTAAGTTCGATATAAAGTAGATTAATATTAATGCAATTCAATTATATTTGTTATGTGTACGTAGAAAGGAATGGGTGACGCAGAGTATATAGCGGCATTTCAACAAGTAGTAATGCCAATTGCTTATGAATTTAATCCAGAGTTAGTCTTAGTTTCTGCGGGCTTCGACGCGTGTACTGGCGATCCGCTTGGAGGTATCCTACTATTTTATAAGTATTTATTGTATTATTATAAGTCTAAATTTAGACATTGACATTGATCTATGATTTTTTAAGGCTGCTTTGTAACGCCAGAAATGTATGGCCATTTGACTCATTGGTTATCCTCTTTGGCTAATGGTCGTGTTATTCTTAGTCTCGAGGGAGGCTATAATATCAATTCAATTTCACATGCAATGACAATGTGTACGAAATCCTTGCTTGGCGATCCTTTACCAATGTTAGAAACTGGACAAATTCCATGCACGAGTGCCGTTCATACGATACATAATGTTCTGAAAACTCAAAAGGAGTATTGGGTAAGTTTAGCATTCAGTGTATCCTTACCAAAAGAAAAAGTATTACCAGAAGCCAAAGTAGCCTTCGCGAAGACGAATGAGCGAGTTCTAACAAGCGAAGGATTATTGGATCTTCCGGAATCGAAGATAGCATTGGAGGAAGTTGAAACTGAAAAAATGCCGCACAGGCGAAACAAGTTTTCAATTTTGAAGTTAATGAAACCGGGAACGTTGGAAAACTGGGAAAAGTGTGCAGAAGAGATAGAATGCATAAAAAGCAAACAGACTGCTCATTGTGAAGGTACACAAATGTTACACATGGAAGGGAGAAATGACACTTCAAATTACTACAAATCACAAGATTGTCAATCGTCGCATTCAATTATTTTTATAGGATATTCGAAGTGTCTAACGAGTTGCGCGGATCAGAATGAGAAAGAAGGAAGTTCCAATAAAAATTATACGGATTCTACTGCTGGTAGTAGTAGCAATGAACGGAACGAGGGAGCAATTGCACAATCAAGCGGAAAGCAGAATTTACAGGCTTACCTGTCTGAAAATTTGCAAGTAATTAGTAAAAGCTTTGAATTATTGATGTATCGATTAGAAATAATCGACATTATCACCGAAGAAAATTCTTTGTTAATTTCATAGTCATTAATAGCTGGAGATATGTTCGCGGTAATACCATTACGGGAATGTCCGCATTTGGATAGCGTGAGTGATGTGCCAGATGCAAGAATCGATGTACATTTGCCGTGTACGGAATGTGGAAGCACAGACGAAAATTGGATCTGCTTACAGTGTTACACCGTTCATTGTGCACGTTCGGTCAATCAACACGGTTTATTACATGCAGAAGAAACAGACCATCCGTTGGCGCTAAGTTTCAGTGATTTGTCTGTTTGGTGTTACAAGTGCGAAGCGTATATAGATAATCCAGTAAGTTTTCAACAATCTTTCAAAATATTAATTTTCACACAATCTTAATTGTATATACATCAAATATACATAACAATGTTTTTAGCGATTATTCGCTGCACGTAATGCCGCACATCAAAGTAAATTTAATGAGGAACTGCCTTGGACCTACAGTGATTGAAATGAAAATATACTCAAGACGAGACAATACATTTGTCACTAACGCCTTATGCAATAACGTATTCCATAATCCCTGTAAATCTATAAAATATACGTTTTTACTTCAGAAATTTTATTTGCTTAATTATATAATATTAGTGTTAAAAAGTAAACACCAAATCAAAATACGTATTAAAAATTTTTAAAACTTATATTATATTTCTGTATTAATAGTGTATTTTACAAAATTATAAATAGTGATTATTAATAATTTTATATTATATTTTTCTATATACATGTATGTAGATAATATTCTATAAATAACCAACCAGTACATAACAAATTCAAAATAAGTCGCTTTACTAAAATTGACAATGTAGATCGAGATATTTATAACGTGCGTCTACAAAATTATTTATTTGAAATCACTTTTATCTACGTACGTATGTTCAATTTGGATCATTGGTAGAACAGAATTTAAATGTACAACCCATACATATATGATTGATCGACGGTGATCTCAAAAACCAAGTAAAACTGCTTAATCATTAAGACGTAACATTTTTTTATGTCAAAGAAAATAGTATCTTATACTTTTTATTATAATTTAATTTAAGAAATAACTCTTGTATTATGAAATCAAAAATAAATAAATATATTAGGATAATTGAACGTTTAAGTTATTATTAATTATAAGGTATACGTAGTTTCTTTTCGCATTTTACGCGTGTATTCATACTTGGTACTTGCTACATACTCAATTCGTATTAATAACATTTGAAATTGTTGGAAAGCTTCAAATATATTATTTACAATCTCAGTAAGCCTTTCTACTAAAGATGTATTTAAATATATTAAATGCACAACGTTGTTACTAATCTTAGAGAATGGTAGTCTTTCAACTGTAACGTGTGGATAAAATCTATTTACAACGCGATAATTAAATAAATTTGTACTATTTTTCAAAGAAATAAAATCTTCCAAGTCTACTGCAGGAAGAGCATAATACAATCTGTAGGGTACGTGTTTGGTAGCATAATTACGTTCGCATTCATGAAGTTTTAAAACAATAGCGTTACATACATCTCTCACAGATTTTGAACCTTGCTCGTAGAGATAAAAATCTTTGACTAATTTATATTTATGATGTTTTCCGCTACTAAAATACGTCTTTCTCGTATTTCTCAAGTGCAAAAGTGCCGTTGGTATGGGATAAGTATGCGACGTGAACAAGTGTATATGTGTAAGGTCTGGTTTCGCTTTTAATTCAGTAGCTATGTGAGATGACAGAGGTAAAACTCCGCCTTGATGAGCAAATCCATAAAAAAGTGTTAATGCGATGTTACAAATAAACCAGAAGGTCTGCATTTTGTTCAACTTATTTCTTAATGTAAAAGCATCTCGGCATCCGTTATCTTTGGTGATACGTGCGACAGTATCAACTCCTGATATTTGACTTACATTTGGCGCATATAAAAAGACTAGAGGTAACAGTGTTGGAATAATAAATCGAGGTTCTTGATGTGGGAATATCGATAAGAGTATAATAGGTATAACAAAAGACATTGTCATTAAACCAACAACACTCTGTATCCTTGGCAGATTTAACCACTTCGCTTTTACACCACTGTAAATGATAATTATACTTCGTTAATTGTCTTTTATCTTTTCTTTCACTTGACATGAGAATAACATTAATAAAATATTTACCTATACAACATTTTTCCAAACGTAACAAGACCAATGATACCAAGAACATTGTATAAAAGGGGTATATTGATTATAAAATGTAAATAATGAGGATGCAAACCATGATGCTGTAGATTTTTTGTGTTTGCATTGTATCTAAGAAAATTTAACGGAGTTACCACAAAATTATTTATGTTAATTGCACGATTACCTATCTCTGCCATTGTTAAATAACCGAAATAAAAGCTGTCGACTAGAATGAAAAAGGCAACGGTGGGTATGCCACAGGCAATAAAGGTAAATATTCGAACGTGAAAGTCTATGAAACCTACGCTCTTAGAACCTAGACCTCTTTGCAACCAAAAAAAGATAGGGACAAATGCAAATGCAATAAATGTTGGCCTATTAAATATGCCAACTACAGTAATTGTTGCAATCTTTAGACAATGAGTTAAAGAATGCGAGGGCAATGAAGCTTTAAGTTTATAATATTTTACTCTCTCTACTCCAGTCTTTGCTTTGTAATATTTATCTGACAGATAGTCACTTTGAACAACTACCTGAAACGATAAATATACTTAATTTATGAACCAGTTGATACATTGGCATCGTCACAAGATGCCTTTATGGCTTCAAACGTGGTTTTATACCTTCTCCGAGTAAGCCATACAATATGATGTATAGTACAATAATAACGCTGTTAGCACCAATTCAATCGTATTTGATAATGTGCGAGTTCCATAAACAAGCATAACATAGGAACTAGCATAAATGATCAGTCTTATCTTGTAATTTTGCCCATACATGTAGCAGATTTTGTACAAACAATAATCCGACACAAAAGACAAACCACATATTAACAAACGTGGAAATAGCACAAGAAAATACGGTGTTTTTAATGATATACCCAAATAGAAAACTGTATATTGTGACAGCGTTGTTAAAATCGAGTATGGTACACCAACAACTATTTGGGGTATTAAAGGAGTTCTTATGGGAAATGTAGAATTGAATTCCCACGGTTTGTTAACATCGATGTCAAAATAATTATCTGTAATGTAAAATCGGCTGCTAAATTCTCGTATTATGAATAAGTCTACCATTTCTGTGTATATATATATAAAAATAATTCTACACTTACCAGACACAACTTCGATAGATTGAAAGTATTCGTCCGGGTGAATATATCCTGTTTGAGGAATTAATGTTAAAATGATCCGCAGAGCGACTAACACCCAATAAAGGCCTATTTTTCTTTTCAAAGGAGCTGCCGGTTTATATTCGTCTATAGATCTACGATATTCATTTTTCGAATGCATCGTTCTGTCAACGTGTAATTTAAAAATAACAAACCGGTTCCTCGTAGAATCAGAGAGAAAAATGAGAGGAATGAGAGTGCTCTGGAGTGCTCACTTTTTTGTTGTCGAGTAAAGCCGCAACGAAACTACTGCACCTTGCGGCCAGTTCGGTAGAATATCAATTCAGCGAGGTTATTTTATTAGGATTGCGTTACTGTCAAACATTTTTCTACAAATTAAACAAGAATGTTATTTCACACGAACACGTGTACGTACGTTTATTATCAGTGAATATTTTATTCAGGAGTTATCATTTAGCTATGCTGGTAATTAATAAATCATGTTGTAAATTATAAACGAAATAAACTACAGTACTAACAGTTAGGTATGCGTACTGTACTGTTATGTATATACCAACAACATAACATAGTCTTGCCATTATTATTGACGTCTAACGTCTAAGCAGCAAGCATTCAATTATAAGCTCTTATACACGCATTATAAACATACTGTAAAATTATAAAAGTTTCTACAGTTAATAAAGGTAAAGTATGTAAATAAATAGACAGTTTTACACCTCTGATACACCATAATCAATTTTTTTAGATGCAATAAGAGTTCATTATTGAGAGACTGATTTTCATGAAATATTGATAAAATGTTTGTATATTTAAGTAAAAAGATAGCAATACCGAACAATTTTCGGTTAAATTGCATAGCATGGAATCAGAAAGAAGGTTACATAGCAGTCGGTGGAGAAGATGGACTTTTGAAAGTCCTCAGAGTAGACTCGAATGCAAGCGGATCCACCAGTGGAGGAAAATCTAGAAACCTGACTGCTGCCAGTAACTTGAGTATGAACCAGACCTTGGAAGGGCACAATGGGCATGTGCAAGTTGTTATTTGGAATGAAAAACATCAAAAATTGACCTCGAGCGATCAAAATGGTGTGATCATAGTTTGGATGTTGTACAAGGGTTCTTGGTATGATGAAATGATAAATAATTGCAATAAGTCAATAGTTAAAGGAATGGCATGGAGTCTAGATGGCTTGAAAATTTGCATAGTCTATGAAGATGGAGCAGTTATTGTGGGTTCAGTTGATGGTAATAGAATCTGGGGCAAAGAATTGAAAAACGTAGCTCTTGCAGCTGTACAATGGTCCCCTGATGGGAAATTGTTGTTGTTTGGTATAAAAAATGGGGAAGTACATCTCTATGATAACCAGGGTGTGTTTCTGACAAAGTTGAACATGATACCGGTCAGTGGAGGGCAAATTCAAACGATAGCGTCACTGCAGTGGTATGATGGCAGAAATGGTTACATCGGATTAGACTGTCCTACTTTGGCTGTATGTTACAGAAATGGCAAAGTACAGCTTATGAAAGATACAAGTGATGATAATCCAATTGTAATAGAGACCGGTATGTCAGCTGCATGGTGCTGTTGGAATAGCTGTGGGTCTGTCTTAGCTGTAACTGGGACAGTACCATTATTGGGTACTGGCGAAACAAAGGATACGAATGTCATTCAATTCTATTCACCGTTTGGCAAACATATGAGGACCTTAAAAATTCCTGGACGAGAAGTCACTTGTTGTGCGTGGGAAGGTGGATCTCTCAGAGTAGCTCTATCGGTCGACTCCCATATTTATTTCGCCAATATTCGTTTGGATTACAAGTGGACTTACTTCAGCAATACGGTCGTTTATACGAACGAGAAAATCGTTAAAGATGGCATTTGCATATGGTTTTGGAATACAACGAACAACACGTGTTGTACTAAAAATGTACGAGCATTGATTTCCATAGCTTCACACGGAGATCATTGCGTTTTGGCAGTGAAAAATGATGTTGCTCAAGGATTAGAACAGTTTGCACTCCTCGTATGCAACACAATAGCCACTCCGATAGATACGAAGTTCATAAATCTGGAACCATTATGGGTGACTATGACTAATCACATAATTGTCACAGCATCCAAGAATAACTTCTTAGTTTGGAACTATCGCACTCCTCGTAATTCTATGTTACATGCAGGACGAATTAGAAGAGACAAGATTTATCACATTGACGAAACTCCGACAGGAGTAACAGAAGTTATCCAAGATTTGGATAAAGATAGATCTTTTGAGACACCTATCAATACAAAGGCAACTATGGATCCAATTTGTTGTTTGTGTGCATCTGATAAAATTCTATTGATAGGTAGAGAATCTGGAGTTATTCAAAGATATTCTTTATCTCAGATAACTCTTACGAACAGGTACAACACGTCGTGTAGACTCTGTAAGATTGCAATTAATTGTGATTCATCTCGTGCGTCTATTATGGACACAAGCGGTGTCTTGACTATGTTGGATTTAGAGACTGATCCCAAGAAGAATATTTCAAAGAATGGAGAATCAGAAGATGAGATAAGCAAATTTGAAAGAAAAGACGTATGGGCAATGTGTTGGGCGCAAGATAATCCTGCGTTATTGGCGATTATTGAAAAAACTAGGATGTACATTTTAAGAGAATTTGATCCCGAAGAGCCAATATCCTGTTCTGGGTACATTTGTTCGTTTCATGATTTAGAGATACGTTGCGTTTTACTGGATGATCTTATGCAGAAACCAGAAGACACGAAAAATGAATTGATCGTGGATTTAGAAGTGAAATCTCTCAGAGATACTAGAGAACTATTGATGAAAGTGGGACTGAAAGAAGCTAACAATTTTATTCAAGACAATTCACATCCGAGGCTGTGGCGCCTATTAGCAGAGTCTGCTTTACAGAAATTAGATTTGGAGACTGCGGAAAACGCAATGGTTCGTTGTACAGATTACTTAGGCATACAGTTCATCAAACGTTTACAGAATGTACACAACGATCAGCTGAAAAAGGCCGAGGTAGCTGCCTTCCTCGGTAAGTATGATGAAGCAGAAAAATTGTACTTAGACATGGACAGAAGAGATTTAGCTATTTCACTGCGTCAAAAATTAGGAGATTATTTTCGAGTAGTGCAATTAATGAAAATGGGTATCGGAGGATCCGATAAACAGATGGAATACGCGTACAATAAAATTGGCGAGTACTATGCCGAGAGACAGAACTGGGAAGATGCGAGAGAATATTACGAGAAAAGCAGGAATTTAGAAAGACTCATAGAATGTTACTACAAATTAGAAGATTTTGTACAACTGACGAGTACGATACAACAATTACCAGATAAAAGCCCTCTTTTAAAAACAGTGGCAAAAATGTTGGCTTCCGTGGGAATGTGTTCCCAGGCAGTGACGGCTTACATAAGATACGGAGATGTGAAACTAGCCGTGGATACGTGTGTTCGCTTGAACCATTGGGATCAAGCGGTTGAACTGGCACGCACTTACAAGATGGCACAAATAGGTGAATTGTTAAACAAATATGCCAATCATCTCTTATCTAATGGGAAGAGATTGCAAGCTATAGAATTGTACAAGAAGGCGAACTACAATTTGGAGGCGGCGAAACTACTTTTTCAATTAGCGCAAGAGCAAGCAAAGACTAGGACGAATCCATTGAGAGTAAAGAAAATTTACGTTCTAGCAGCTCTATTGATTGAGGATCATATCAACAGCATTCCAGCAAGTAAAGGTGGACGTAGTAATGTTGTAATGGGCTTGACGGAGAATAACGAAGATAGCCGTGTGATAGAGAACGCTTGGAGAGGTGCAGAAGCTTATCATTTTCTCTTATTAGCCCACAGGCAGATATATTCAGGGAACTTTGATGCAGCTATGAAAACAGCTTTGAGACTCAGGGATTACGAAGATATTCTACAACTCGAAGACATTTATTGCTTGCTGGCTCTATCCAGTGCAGTTAATCGCGCTTTTTCAGTTTGTTCCAAAGCATTTATCAAATTAGAGTCTTTAGAGACTATTTCAGAAACAGTTAAAGAAGAGTATGAAGATTTAGCTGTGGACATATTCACTAAGCACAATCCCCAAGATGTTTGTAATTCTAAATCTGAATGCGCCAACTGTGAGAGTTTGATACCTGATTGGTGCGTCGCCTGTCCTAATTGCATGACTAGGTTCCCTCCCTGCATCATCTCTGGGAAACCACTGATGAATCTGAGCAATGCATGGATCTGTACCGTTTGCAGACATCACGTCGCTACTGAACGCGATGTAGTTAATATTAATGCTTGCCCCTTGTGTCACAGCACAGTTACGTACATGTAATCTTTAGACACATATTCTATATGATACACTTTAATGAAAAAAGAAAAAATTATGCTACGCTTTTATACTCGTGTACGTTCCTTAAAAAAATTGTCTTTGATCTCTTTAAAAGTTTAAAGGTTTGGGTACCTGATTGAATTATTTGTAGGCGAACTTTTATTACATGACCTTTGATTGTTATATCGTATATAAGATAAGTACATTTTCTCGGAAACAGTATTAGGCGCACGTCAATTTATAAGATTTATTGTAAGAAAAAGAAAAATTGATTTCATCTCTTCGCTCAATATTTTCTTACTTTTCGTCTATTGAACTTCTTTTTTATCATGCACGCTTAGGTATTTATACACTCCAGTAGATTCTTAAGATTAGTTATTTATGTATTAGTTAGTTTATGATTTTTAATTTGTACTATACAATCCGTCCGATAATTGAAAAATTAATTCCGTCCAATGCGATAATGATACTATTTCTTAATGTCGTTTATATCGTTATTCATTTGTATTAAATATATTTTAAAATCATCGTGTCTTCTGTCATTTAATACTTACCTAAATAATTTTTAATTTTAACTTTAATTCGTGCAGAAAGGTTTAATTAATTTGTTCTGCGCATGGCAATTGGTTGTGTGCGCAATACAGACGATATAAAATTCAAATTGGCGCCCTTTTTTAATCAAAGCTTCTTTAGAGTACTGCGCATCCGCACACCACAGCCTGGCATGGCACGCGTTCTTTCACTGCTTTCACTGCCGCGTGCGCGAATCGGTCGGTCGGTGCCGGTGTAGTTACTGGATTGGAGTTGTCGGTCAGTGCGCGTCGAGCCAGTACGGAGGGGTTGTTTCATCGCGTGTTCTCGTTCTTCCTCCTGTATCCTCCGCTTTACTTCCGACATTCGCGTCTACGGATCGCCGACATCGTCGTGGCGATAGCTGTTTTAAATCATCAAACGTGCTTACAGAGCCGAATCGCGATTAAGACGCCACTTTCTCGCGAATGTATAAGCTTAAGTGTCGCGTCCCGCGTATTTGCCGCGTCGGTTCGTGAGTGTATCTCGAGTGCCCGCTACGAGAGAAATAAGTATGAGTGGTATGCTGCCGATATTATGTGTTATTCTGATCCTTAGCGTCGCGACGACCACAGTGCGCGCTGGATTGAAATGTGATACTGTCAAGCCGTACTTCGAGGCGCAGGGCTTTCCGGCCAGTGACATTCCCAAGGAGGCTATCTCATGTAAGCAGCTTATTCATATTTGTTTTTACATTCTTTGGCAACTTTGATCTCCTGTCGAAATTTACCACCGAAGGGCTACAGGGGCTATCACGCTAGATGCAGATAGTGAAAATATACGAAAAAAAAGTACGACACATGTTTACTTTCGAATGCTGGGTATCATTAGTGAACCCAAGTTTTTTAATTGGGAAGACATAAAGAAATACGTCTATGTACGATTTTTCTTATGCTACAATTCGAGTGGCCATTCATAGTCTACTTATGTATTGTAACTGAATATAATGGAAGTGTTTTATGAAGGGATATTCTCAACAAAATATTTATGACCGATATCACGAGAAGTCAAAATTGAATATCGTTATAGTCATCGGAGATATTATTCCAAATGTTATTTTCGTACACGAAAGAAATCGATGATACAGATTTGAGTAATTATTTTATTACATTGTATTATTCATACTGCACACAATAATATATACGATTTTGATTTTATCTTTTGAAACTTTTTCTATCTCTACGCTTATTTATACTTTTTGAAAGGCTCTTATATCAAATGTTTGGGTATCTAAACTGAGACACCTAAGATAAGAGTATCTCCTATTACATAGTATCTATGACCGATATTGCGCTGTAAAATACATTGTCTGCATCGATGAAATGAACATGAATATCATGTTCTAAGATAATCAATCCTTTCCCATTAACGATAATGTATCGCTAGGTAATCTCTACACGAAAGAAAAGATTGTTCATAAACGTCTAAATTGCGTATTGGTTATTGACATTGTGCATTAAGTGTTTAGTATTTAGTATATTTAGTAAAAGTACAAATATGAATATAATTATATTTGATAGTACAATAATTGTATTGATAGTATTGTGAAATAAGCAAAACTGTTCGTAAGAAACCCACAGGATGTGGTGCACACATATTTATAATGTAAAGTAACAATTTATTCCGATGATCGTCGAACATTTTGTATCATGAACGAATGAACAATTTCGGTCAATATATCTGATGGTTCCATCGCGTTGACACGATCGTAAAAAGCGTGTTTAACAAGTACTTAATAAGTGGATCGAGGATGGGAGCATCCGGGAACTACTATACATCCTTGACCCCAAGTTTTTACTTTTATGATCTTCCGTTTTATCTCCTGCTGAATCCCGTTTTCACTGCGTGTCGTCTGCCTGGTGCAATATTCTGGAGCCGAGCAGCTGTTTCAGGTCCCCGCTACCTGAATTTTCTGACGCATTATCTGCCAGGGGGATGCCATGCTGCGTCGTCCCAGCTTTTACGGTGTTGCCCTTGCAACGAACTCCAAAAGAATACTTATGTCTATATTCACCATAGTCAATTGATACATTTTAAGAGGAAACGTAAAATACTATGACGATCCAATCGTACGTTATTTTCCCATGCTTGGACCATGTTTAAAAAAGTTATATTAGAATAATTCATAATTTAGCAAAGTTGTTAAAAAGAAAAATTGTTCGTATACATTTATCCTACAGTTTATTATTAAAATTCATTCAGAAGGATCGTGTGGATAAATTCGACACGATTCGTAACACTTAAGAAGATGAGGAATTCCATTCGTCCGGCTTCTCTAGCCGTTCTGTCAGGGCTTAGGATCACCGTAGACGCGAACAAATGTTCAAGTGTGTTGAACAGGCTATGAAAGAACGTTCTACGCGAGCACGTCTTATAACACGTCTTATCCGACATCCTGCCGTTTCTCGAGTCATTCGGTACAATTAATTTTCCCGTTGCTTGTGAACGGCTGATCTGTGACCCACTGAATTTTAACGTATTCTCAATAATATGAATTCAATTTATATTGACAGTCTTGATACGTGAATACAAAAAGTTATTCATGTCTTTTAAGATATTCCGTGAGCTGAATTTAAAATTCCCAAGCTCTTAAATACATATTTAAAATTTCCAATATCCGTATAATAAAAAATATTTAAATATTCAATATCGTCGCCCGGCTACTCTTAAATGATGAATTCTCACACCAACAAGTAATCGATATTTATAAGGAAGATTTATACATATTGTGTCTTCAAATATTTTACTATGAAAGTGTAATGAAGAACACTAAAAATTAACTACTCGAAAAATGATTTTTCTCCACTATTGAACCACTATGCGCCCTCAGATCGAAACAGGTGTGTCAATCTTCGCTAAACACTATCTTTACCCCGCGGGTGTCTGTTGTTGGATAAAATGGAACTGGATGGAAAAGATCATCGAGAAAACGAGCATTACGAGACTGTTTCAACCGGTATCGAAAGTGGATCCGACCGATGAGTCGGCTAGAATTTTCTTACCCATCGTTTCTTCCTTTTCTTTGAGCTGGCAAGAGTTTTCTTCCTTGAAAGCCCTTGGGGGACACGAATACAGTGACTTTAGCAGTACTTTGTATGCTTCTTTCCTATCGTTATATATTCTTTGAAGTAAACAGGTTTCCTTTTTACTTAATTATTCTTGCTTCTCTCAATGGAATTTCATAACTAGCTCTTGTAACTGTTTATTACGAAAATATTCGAAGTTTCATTGAAAGCATCAATTAGTCTAATTTATGATTGGCAAGATAGATGAATCACTGCATCATTTGCAATTAGTTTACGCCATGGTATATAAACTTGGAACTTCAGACTTGATATACATTAAAATTGTATATCGTAAGACTAAACTATGTTCGTTAACAACTTCTGTCCTCTTGGAACGATTAAAATCAAAATGACAGAGAAGTATGTATCCGTGTATAAAGAATGTTGGCTACCATGCAACTTGTTATCTTCAGCACATCATTAAATTAGAAATCCTAATGCACGCGTGGACGAGCGTTTGGTATTTGTCGCATGCAAAGATAATATAATGGAAAATGCATATGCATCTGCTGAAGAAAAACGGAAAACACATTTCTAACGATAAATATATGTATGGGACTCGACTCTCTTTCATTTCGTATGCAAAGTCGCCGTTAACGGGCATACTTTTCTTTTTCTTGAATAGCGTAATAGAACGTAGAAATCTTTTCTACCCTATTTTTGTCAGTGATCGATGATGCAAGCGGCAGGTAAAAAGCCAAGTGTCTTTTCCCGGACGCGGCACGACGTTTAAAGATTTTCCTTGTCATGAACACGGCTCCTTGCGGCTCGTTGAAACCGCTACTTTCTCTCAAGGTGAGCTGTGGGACTGTTCAGCGCGGACTTAAGATGTCCTAAGATTGGTAGATTTTCCAAAAAGATAGCCTACCTTTGTAGACTATTAGTATTACCAAGCCGCGTTGGTTACTTTTTATGCAGCGTTCGGGCGAATTCCATACCTTTATATTTTCTTTGATGGAAACCTATTTTTTTTAAGGATGGTCAGACTTATATATTGGATATATTATCTTGTATTTATAACTAACGATATTAACAAATTTTACTTAGTGAACCCCGAAAATTCCTTTTTTTTTTTTTTTTTAGAAGATTTAGTTCATAGTTCTGGTTTACGCCCTTACCTTATCTCTGGTCCCTTAAGCGTGGGTTTCTCGGAAGGAAGAGGAGGATACAGTGCGCTTCATGCTACTTTGCACACCGATATTACCGCGTCGGTGGTGCGTCGGTGTGCACTATAGCTTCTCCTGATGGAAACCGTCGCTTCCAGGCTACGCGACATCTCCTTCCTTGGCTAGCCATTGAGGATGCATCATTATGCGACTTACATTTGCCAGAGATAGGGTTCCGCGTCCCTCCTTGAAGTGTTCCCGAGGTCCTCCACGCTCGCTAAAAGCCAGCCTAAGGACTCATTGTAGTTAGTGAGGACGTCGGGGGACGCGTCATGAAGCACGTCGTCCCTGATGAAGTTTCGTTATTGGTAGCCATTCGGGCTGCGGTGTTCGGAATTCCTGTTGCTCTCGGATGGTAATTTTGAGGAACAAAGAAGCGCGCTATTTACATCGGAATCGGAACTGCGTCCCAGTTGTATTAGAAGGAAAGTTGGGACCGATTTGACGCTAGTCTTTTGCTTTTAAGAGTGTTCTTAAAATGTAGTATAAGATTTTCTAGAAAGGGGCTTTCGCTCTGTTTTATTGATAATGAGGCAACAATAGTGTAAAATATGAATGTACTTCTATTCTTGTCAACGTAGAACGTGTCAATGTGTTGAATAAAAACAATCAGTTTTGGATGTAAAATTGCTTATAATAGAGGCAATGTAAGTACGATTTTTCACATATTTTAAAACGCTCATATTACTAAATATCAGTATGTTCTGATTAAATCATGACCAGAGCACGCCAGATTTAACTTTCTTCTTTCCAAAGAACTACCTGACGATCTAAAAGTATTCTCATATAACGACGAAGAGTGCAAACCCGTAAACTCATATTTTTAGCTAATTTTGTGGGTGACATTCACAGCTTGCCTTGTCACGCTGCTACCGGAGTCTACCCCCCTTAAATCTTATAATTAAATTTTCTTATAATAGAATTAATAGTCTATAATAAACGTTAAATGTTTGCAGACGATGAATATTTGATCGTGCACGAAATGGTACTGCCATTACTCTGATTGAGCAACATGTAGATATCGCAAATGCGAAACGGCGTAGAAATCCTAGTCTCCTCATTCGGGTTGATTAAGTTTAATTAAGACGACGGGTCTCGGCATACTAGTCATGCCAGGTAGCCGAGATGAAACAGGGCATAAATATGACAGTCTGTTGCTCCTTTAAACCTCCGACTCGAATTAGACGTTGGATCTGTTTGATCGTGTGTTCGTTCGCGTGGAGCGGCCGGTATAATGTGTGTTTAATCTAGAGGCGATGACTGATCTCGGTTATGGATTAGGAAGTTCCCGCTGATCCTTCAAATTAGTTGCCCAGTATCTCGAGCCGCAATCTTTCTATGCCTCTCGACAGTTCTGACACAACTGTTCTTCTTTCTATTTCTGCTTGAGAGTTCTCCCTACTGGTCTTGTAAATACGTAGGAAGACATTTCCA